CAACAATATGTTGGAACTAAAATGAGGAACACATTATTATATAACAAAACTGGTCTTCACTAAACAGGATTAAAATTATGGCTAACAACTGGGAGGATCTGGAAATGATGAGTTTTGGCAAACCTTTGTGGTCCAAGTTCATACAGTTCTGTTAAAAGTGATGGCGACTTTATATATAGTAAATGCATAATAATATGTTGTGTTTGACAGATGATTTTTTAAAATTTTCTAAGGGGAATAACCTAGTGGATAATTCACTGGCTCTTTCATCTTCAGATTTCTGTTTTAACCACTGTGTAAAACATTTATTCCTAAAACATTATAATCATAAAATCATTGCACATATACATGGTATATTATGTTTAAATAAATTCAAATTGCATTTTATTTCAACAACTTCTGCTATTTTCAATACTTACTTGTACCATGTAATTTGTGAGAAGGACATATCTTTTATCTGCTGACATGTAGTATTTTGTAGGATTGTACTCCCTCTGGATGAAAAACATAATACTGTAGTTATATCATATTCTGGTTTTGATAAAACACACATCAGTTGGAAGTTTGACTAGTTTGAATAATCTCAAACAAAACTGTAGAAATAACACATTAATATACTAATCCCAAAATGAATAAAATTTTTAAATATATATATATATTATACTGAATAATATTGTTTTTGTAAATAATTTCAAATTCTGCTAAACTTTTATAAAAACTGAAATTTTGATTATAATTACGAAACTTTGTAAAGTTAATGTACATCAGTTCTTCTTTTTCTATGTAAATGTTCTACAAGTTTGTTTGAAAGTGTCAGTTTAACTGTAAAACCAATAACTGACAGTTGTGTTTCTGCATTGTAGATAATATAGAATGAATTAGTTAAACTTACCAGGCACCTGTTGTATAATTATAGGTAAATCATAACATTTGAGTAATACATTGTTACTAATGAAGTTATTAAGTTTCTAATTTGTAAATAGTAAAAAGCATACATCATTTACTGATATATAATGTTCATTGATTGGCTGAGTATTTTAGAATATATAATAATATGCATGTAAACATTTTGTCAGTACACTGACATTATCTACTGAAATTAGTTGACTTCATTAATTACACTCAATGCTTCTGAATTTACCAAAATGTATGAATAATAAGTCTTAAATGTAAATTACTTTTAAAATAAAGCAATCAGTTGTAATTTTCTCCTGCCAGTGTTCAATAAGTAAAGACATTCAGTCATTGCAGGAATGAGGTATTTTACACAACTTTTCCAGAAAATGCTTAAGCGAAAACATAATTAATTATAGCGTCTGAAATTCAACCTACTCTTTGGACACTGTAGAACTGCATTTTGATGACTTGTAAAACTCTATCTAACAATTGTTTGGACTATTCCTTTCATGAGTTCAGTGAATATAGTTTCATTAAGTAATTTCCAATGTTGAAAATGACATGAATTTTGAAAATTTAATCCAAACACAAGTTTATGTTTTCACTATATTACTATTCTTTCAGAACTTGAAGAGAGCTTTTATATACGGAAACATCTATTAGCCGAGTTCTTGCACAGATCTTAAAATATAACATTGATAAATGGAAACATTGGCACATGTAAATATGTAGATCTTGAAAGTCAAGTTGTTGAAAACTTGAAAATAGCGTTGATAACTGATATTAGCTATTTTCAAGTGTTGAACAACTCAACTTTCAAGATCTACGTATCTACATGTGCCAATGTTTCCATTTA